AGCACTGGTCAAGACTCTGTACTATAGAGCGACAAGAATATGCTCTACAGAGAAACTAGAGGAAGAATTTGAGTTTCTTGAAAAGACATTGAAGAGCAATGGGTACCCTCAAAGGTTCATAAACAAGTATGGAAGATCTGGAGTCGAAAATGAAAAACAAATCACAGTAAGAAAAAAGCCAATCTACTTTGAGCTTGATTATAAAGGTGAAAACATTGCAGCTATGATCAACAGAAGGCTGAGCGCATCACTAGCCATAGCCCACCCTGCAGCTAAGCTCGTTCCCGTCTTTCGTACAACTTGCTCTCTGGTGCAATCAAAAATCGATAGATATCCTTCTCATGTTAACTCCAACTGTATATACAAATTTACATGTATCTGTGGGAGCAGTTACATTGGAAGGACAGAAAGAAGAGAATATCTACGATTTTCTGAACATGTACCAAAAAGCTTATGTCTAAAGGGAACAAATGCTTTAAACAGTGCCATCGCCAGGCATCTTCTTGACACGGGTCATCAGGTGGACGTCGAAAAGTCGTTCAAAATTATCAATAAGCAAAAGAGTTCAATTCTCCTCAAGTTTGCTGAAGCCATTTCAATCAAACACCTAAAACCTGATTCGTGGGTTCAGAAAGAAGCGGCTATCAGTCTTTCTTTGCCCTGGTAACCGGACATTTTGCATCCGAATGCGAGATACTGAAAAGTTTTTATTGTGCATGATTATTATTGTTCGGAATTGTGTTTAATATTGCATATATATATATATATATATGTATATATTATTAGTGTACGCGTCTATTGATCGATTGATTTTTGTTTAAAATGAACTCTGTTCAAGTATGTTTAATAATGTCTTTGTCTTGTAAGCAGCTGACGAGAAGGCGACGAAATGAAATATGGTACCATTTTATTCTGCTAAATCTGTAGTTCTTGCTTTGTTCAGATTGAAATCCATTGACCTAAGTTTTTTTCCCATTTGGTTCTCCTCATTAAGATGTGTCTGAGACCATGAAGAAATCAGTATCCCCTTGATGATTAGAAAGTGGGGCATCGCCCAGTTCTGCAGCCACAGACGCTACCAAGAAGCTAGTCAGTTTGCACCACAAATAAGGCCTGGATGCATTACATTGGTAACATTTAAGTAAGGAATCAGTGTGAGCTTAAACATGACTGATTCAAATAACTGTCAGAAATTTCAAGGACTGACTGACTCCAAGTTTTGGTGCGACCACCACTAACTTCTTTCCAGCCTGATCCTATATCAGCTAACATAAGTGAATGGATTCGAGCACAAATACGTCGTCATGAGTAAAACAGCTTCAACTAAGGCTGTTTTCGTCTGTTAACTAGTACTGGCTAGCAATGGAGTACAGGATGCGGGCTTCGTCCAACTTAGAACTCATCAGCCGAATTTACCTGATTCCCTAGCAAGTGATGATATCTTCACTGAGACTCAAATCCAGTATCCCTCGTCTCTATATAAGATTAAATTCTCTGATATAATATCCCCCGGGTGGATAACAGTTACTATAGTGTGTATGAATATGTGCTAAAAGGGAGATCCGTATTCAATTCTCTGCTGGTGTACTTTTAAACCTCGACAAGTTTAAAATCCAATAATATACTCAGAAGTGAGGGAAGCTCGAAGCTGGCAACCTTATCCTATGAGAAAACAATGACTGCAAATAAAACTTCGAATAGTTTAAAGCCCTAGTACACGAACTCAACGATACCATACTTGGACCGAGTTCTAAGTGACAGAGACAATGTTAAGCGCGAAACCTATGACTTGCTTTGTTATTGATAACATAATTTTAGGCTCTTTTATTTCTCTCTTATTTTGTATTCTATAGTGAACTCCTTCTTAAACATACTTAGCTACCTAAATTATTAACATTGGCTTACTTATTTGTACTTTACTATATTCCTTCTATTGTGTATCCACTGGTTCCGACTCTATTGGCACTATGAGTATTACAAAATTGTCCTATCATTAACCATCATGTAATTATTAGTTTTTGTGGTTGTTTTTTCTTATTTTCTATACTCTTCGGCAATATTAACTGACAATCATTGGTTGTGAACGCCAATTTTGTATTATTCAGGATTATTAATTCTTTTTTTGAAAATACTCCTTTTAAACGTTGGATAAAATTAGATGCAAATATTGTAGATATATGCTGAAAATTCCACACTGTACCACTAGTACTGTTTCTGGAATAAAGCAAATTATTATTACTATTATTTAAATTTTCCTGTAACCCACTAGGAAGGCAAGAAACGAAAAAGAAAAGGATATAGGCGACATTACAGGAATTAGCTGTCTGGTGATAACTCCTTATTTCAAATGATGGAGAAAATTCTTCGTCCATTTGGATGTTTTTAACTTTGCATTGCTCTCTAAGCTGAATGATTCAACTACGAATCCTTCGTTGTCCTTCTGAACAATCCATTTAATTCCCTAATCGTAAGTGTTTTGATCAGGACCAACCAGTCAGTTTCGCTCAATGATGAACTGAGTAACAACATAATCCTGCGTAGATTTTGTTTCATCTCTGTTGGGACTCATTAGAAAGGTATACTTCCCAGCTTCCTTATGATTTGAACCTCAATGTTAACTAGCACGAGATTTATTCCCGGAGCTTCTCTCCAACGGACACCTGATATTAAACACGGAATTAAGTTACACACAACCAGTATTCTCGTTGTTCATCTTCACCTTGATTTAAATGGTTAGATATCATCACGAACAAACAGCACTATGCATTTCGTCAGCGTCTTCACCCAGGTGGGAGGACTATATATCATCTGCGCATTCTAAGTCAACGACATTATTCCCTGATGGTAACAAGTCACTTAGAGTTAAGTCCATTGGTACATCTGTGATGAAATTAAGTAGAAATCGGGACAGTGAGGATCCGTGTCGGACACTCTTAGTTGTCACCACTTCAGATGATAACTCTCCATAAGCCCTCACCTGCCTACATGAGTTCCAGTAGAGTGCCATAATCAGTGGGATATAGTTTCTCCGCATTCTCTTCAACCTCTCAGTCGATAGAATCGAATGCCGCCTTTATGTCAAGATTGTTGGACGCCGGTAAGTATGCCTTCCATAATCTGTCGAAGGGTGAAGATATGATCAATACACCCTCTTCCTGGTCTAGAACCTGCCTGCTTCTTTCGTGATTGTGCCTCCCAAGCACCGCTTAGTCTACGCATGATTACTGAGCTGAGAACTTTAGGTAAAATATTAGTCAAGCCAAGTCCCCTGCCTAGTCCCTCAGTTAACGCAGACAGTAAACTGTCTCCACCGTCCTCAAACACCTCTGGAGTCATTCCATCAAATCTTGCTTCTTTGCCTCGTTTCATACTAGTGACAGCTTTTGTGACCTCAGTTAGGGACAGAGGACCTGTGTCTACATCCCATTCAGGGAGGTATTGGATGTTCGGTAAGTTGAGTGTGGCTGTAGGTCAATTAAACTGCTTCTCAAAGTGTTCTTTCCAACGTTCCAGTCGTCTATCCTGGAAGCCGATTATGGTGCCATTTTTCTCAAAGATTGTTTCACTTATCATTTGCCTTGTACCACCTGTTTCCCTGATAAGTTTAAATAGTCGTCTGGTGTTACCAATCGCTGATGCTTTTTCCATCTCTTTTGCTTTTGTCACCCACTACTACTATTCACGGTCGAAGACTTATTGTTAGCTTGCGTTTGAGCAGCTTTTGCTCCTCATCATGTTCGGAGCGCGATGGAATCATTCTTCTTGCGTTAATCAGTTCGGATGAGGTAGTAGTGTAATAACAGAAGACAAGGGCCAGGCAACAGACCGTTTATTAAGGAAAATCAACAAATATTTATAGATTTGAATGTACATTATTGTAGATTAGTGTTAGTAGAAAATACAGTCTTTTGATTGGTTGTTTCTCACAGAAAGTTAACCTTGCATCTCTTTGCGGCTGTGTCAGATCATCCATATGCTAATTGTATCCGCCTACGCAAAGCCTTTGTTCTCATTTCCTCACCACCAATATTGGGCACATAAATATTGACGTCAATTACTGTCTACCAACTTTGGCTAGCAGCCAGCTCTCACCACAGTAGAAATCCAATGACTCTTACTAACTTTTGGTTTTAAGTTACTAACAGTCTTTACAGCTGTGTCTACAGCTAACTGTATGTTTTACCAGGCTTCTTCAGGAGAAATCTTGCTATCGACCTCAGATATTCGTCTCGCTACTTCTTCCTTAAATGGGGACCCAGTGTCCTGCTGTAGTTGGGGCGTGAGGAACCTAACCAGGAAGTTTGCACCTCCCCACATGACTGGCTCGAGCTAACTGTTATGGGTTTTATTGACTGATGAAGCCATCTTTTTGTTTGACCATCGCTACGTCCTTTCAAACCTGATACTATGTCAGCTATTATTGCCCGTCAGTCGAGGAAGGCGATGGCATGGTATGCGCAACGTGCATATCCTAACCATCTCAATCAATTCACCTTCACAACCTCATCGATTGATCTACTTACCCTCTTTACTCAACACTCCATGCCTAACCTCAATATTACTCACCTTATTATTTGTGTTCGAACACATCTAGCCTTTACATATTTCCCACTTTTAATGACCATGTGTCACTCACAGACATAAAGGAGGACATTCTTCGGCAGACAGCCGGATATCACGTCTACGTCACAGATGACGTCGGTTGGTAAGTGCCATAGAGAACTGCTGTATTCATGCTGAGATTTCGCCCCCAAATCAGTCAGTTCATTGACGCTGATGGAACTCCCCAAATAAATGAAATGGTCAACACGCCCTACCACCACTTTACTCCCTTCTGTCTTTAAGCTAGGAGTGAGTCGACGAAGTGATACCTTAAAAATACTCCTTTCAACTCATGAGAGAGAGACAGACAGACTGATAGAAAAATTGATTTTCAACAAGTAACAACACAAGGACTCATATATATTAATCAATAACAATGGTAATATCAAATTATATTACTTAATATAAACAATCAAAGTACAAGTAAAAAGAATAAAAGTGTTACAGTCAATTGTCTATTTTTTTTAAAAAAAATTTCTTTTATGAGTAATTATTAACAATGTCGGTCAATTACTTGAAATTATTCGGTACAGATAAAAATAATAAACGAAGTAGAAGTGAACCAACTAACCAACCAACCAATCAACTGTGTTTTACTGTTGTTCAAAAATAACAACAATCGATTAATCAATACTTCTTATTGTATGCAATATTTGAATAAGGCGCACATCATTTATTTATTCATTTGAGCATTTTAAACAAACAATACTAGTGAGAGAGAGATAGAGAGAGAAAACAGTTTATGTAGAAAACAAATCCGGAAAGAGAAGAGAAGTAGGGGGGTGATATGGATATCAATCACTACCATCAGCATTGAAGATGTGGTCTAACTTGACACTGAAACGTTCGTCGATTGAAATTTCAACTCAATCAGAGAATAAATGAAATTCAATAGGTATTTACATAAAAAATTATCATTTAATAAAGCGAAGCGAGGTGTGGCAATGCAAACTGACACGTAAGGCAGAAATATATCACAAAGGCAAAAAGAGAAGAAGGCAGTTGAAACTGTAGGCGAAGGTCATGGTCAGTTATTGTGTTGTTGCTGTTATTGTTGTTTTTGAATCACTTGTTTGGTTTTCATTATTATTATCAGATTTAAGAAATTCTGCTTTCAATGAAGCATTCAGCTGTTCCCAATTCTGTGTTAATAACCATTGAGTATGTGTCAGAGAGGGTGGTTGTGGTGCTGCTGGTGGTTGTGATGGTGATGGAGGGGGTGGAGCAGGTGGAGGTGGTGACTTTTTAGATTGATTTAATAAAGAATTATTCTGTGATGAATTCACCTTGGCTAATTGTTTACCTGATTGATTAATATTATTTGTCAGAGGAGTAGATGGGGCATCACAAATGATCGGATGATTAGTTGTACTACTTATACTTGTACTTGTACTATTACTTCTATTATTAAAAGGATTTGAACGTCGTTTTGAAAAAATTGATGATGTTTTAGATAATGAAAAAGGTGAATTATTGTTACTACCAAGAGATGGAGATTTATTATTAATAGATGAGGATTGTTGTTTTACTGTACTCAACGCTTTATAATGATCTTCTAAGTCTTCCAATGTTAATGTGATATATTCAATACTACATCTACTGATAGCACGCATCCAATCCTATAGAAGAAGAAGAAGAAACAGGCACAGATAGAGAGAGAAATAGAGATTAGCATAAAGGATAAATTAAAACATTGTACGAATATTCCACACACCCCATCCTTATTTTTGCTTTCATCGAAAGAAGGTACATCGACGGACTGGCTTCCCGAAGGCTTTCACCAGCCTGCGTCAGTCATTTCACTTCCCCGATTCCAGCGAAAAATAAGGTTATTGTTTGTATTTTTAGAATTTTTAATATATTTGTCCGTTGAAGTTTATGTAGCAGTTTGGTTTAGTTTTAGGGGTGGAGTTGCTAGCACCACGCCCCAACCCTCCCTCTTTATCCGGGCTTGGGACAGGTTAGAAGACTAGTGAGCTAGTAATCTAGACGAGGGATTTGAAAGAGGTTACTTCTTTCACTTATCTAGAGAGCATTGTCTCAACTACAGGAGGAACGGACAGACGAGGATGTCAAATCGAGTATCGGGAAGGCGAGAAACACATTCATCAACCTGAAACCAATCTGGAAATCTTCGTCACTCAGCCACACCCAACAACAAAATTCGGATTTTCAATACAAACGTCAAGTCAGTCAGTTCTTCTATACGTATGGATCAGAAACTTGGCGGGTCACAAAGAATATTTCCAACAGCCTGTTGCAGACCTTTATCAACAGTTGTCTTCGTCCTACACTGAAGATCAGATGGCCGGAAAGAACAAGAACCAACAAGAAACTATGGGAACAAACAAAACAAGAACAAAACAATCGCTCAACAAATATGCAGGAGAAAGTGGAGATGGATGGGACACTCGCTGAGGAGGCCGCTGGGTGACATCGCGAGTCAGGCCAGTGCTCGAGTGGAACCCGAAAAGGAAGCGACGAGTGGGACGTCCAAGGGTGACATGGAGGAGATCGTGTGAAGAGGAGCTGAAACAGTATGGACTAACATGGATGCAGGTGAAAAGTACAGCAGAAGACAGAAGCAAGTGGAGGTGTGCAGTTGAAGCCCTATGTTACACTAGGAACCCAAGGGAACAATAATAAATAATATAATATGATAATAAATTAAAACACGACACTTTGGTTAAAATAAATTGCCAACTTGGATATGAGTTAGGACAGATCCTTGTTGCCGATGACAAATATGACTGGCGGTGGACGACTACATATACCACAAATCAGTAGAAACTAGAATTTATCGACTATTCAACATTGTTAAGAGTTTGGTTTATTAGGATTAGATTTGTTTTTTCTAACGAGTGTGACTACGGATTGATATCAGTTAGAGAAGAACCATTGAAAACCGCAGCTGGGAGTACTGGACAGCTGTTTCATCTGCCTGGTTTGGAAACCATCGGCAGCACGTACCCACTGCCCAGGGTTTGAACCCAGAACCTTCCGATTACAAGGCAAGCTCGTACACCATTCAGTGAATGAGAGCTGATTCAATGGCCCATGAATTCTAACTTCTACCGATTCGTGATTTAGCACGCGAGCGCCATTGGTTGAATTGACAACAGCGGTAACTTCATTTCAAAACTGTACAGTTTATTTAGGGGAGTTAAGTGATAAATAACTGTTTGAAAATAGTTGAATAAAAACAAGAGAATACAGAATTGAAAAAGGGATTACAAAAATAAAAAAATCAATAAATAAAGCAGGACTACTTTGATTGGACACTGGCAACTAGTGTGATATGTCTAGTCCTTTCTTTGGTGCAGACTGAACTCTACCAGTCAGTCAGGTTTGTAATGTGGCCACCATTCTAGGTAGATCGCTATCACGGTGCACATTCAGTCTGCACCAAACGAAGGACTAGACACATCACACTAGTTACTAGTGTCCAATCAAAGTATCCGATACAGTCAGTCCCACATGAGATCAATCGCGGGCCCGAATAGCTCAGTGGTAACGTCTCTAACTGGGTAACGCGGGTTCAAATCTCGGAAGCGGCACGATTTCCTTCAAGGTTGCAGACACAACTTGCCGATGAGTGACAACTAGCACGAAACCTAGGTGGAAGGCTTCCTACCGATTGCCTCCAACCATCTAAAACGCGACTAGATAGAATTTATTTATCATACAAATATTCAGGAGAATAAAAATTCACACCAAGGCCACGATATGGTAAAAGAGGATGGATAAGAAAACCTTTCTGAACACAAAGTTCCGGGTTCTCTCTCCTTGACCGATTGCTAAGGCTTCAGTTACATGGAGATGTAGACGAAATCCTATCGAATAGCTTGGTTGTACTTTTCCTTTTGACAACATTATCTAGACGCACCCAAAAAGACTTCCCAGTATATATATATATATATATATACATACCTGAAGGTCCTGGCTTCAATCCCCAGTTGCATGAGGTTATGAGTGAATACCTCTGAAGAGTCCAAAACTAGGCGGAACAAAACAGCTGTCCAGTACTCCTTGCTGGTTTTCAATGACTCTGTAACTAACGTCGTCTCATGATTCGTATTTAAAAGGTTAGTGTCCAATGAGTTTTAGTTAACTAAACCGTTCAACAGTGATTGCTAAAGTTTCATCACTATGTCGACAAAGACTCAGAGTACCATTCGACAGGACATGCTTTTATGGGGTAGGGTTGCTAGTCTCACGCCCGACCTTACCATTTTACCAGGTTTACCATTAGTAGATAGTGGGGAATGATAAGCTACGAATATGCCGGACAGATAAGAAGACTCTAGAAGTTCAGGACTTCGTGAACGATTTGTGTCCAATGTCACACAAACACAAACATTAAGAGGCGACGACCAAAGAATTAGCAGAAGAAGCAGAGAAGACGGAAATGATGAAGATAACCAACCAAGAGTGACAAAAACCAGCACCAATCACTATTGCTGGGGTAAATTTGAAGGTAGCCACTTCTTTCACTTATCTACTCAGCATCGTTCAAAATGCAGGCAGACAGCACGGGTGAAGATGTGAAAGGCAAAATTGAAAAGACAAGACAGACTATCATCACTTTGAAATCAGTTTGGAAATCTTCTGCTGTCACTCAGTATAAAGAACAAACTCAGATTTTCAACACTAATATCAAATCCGTCAGTGCTCCATTACGAGTCAGCAACTAAACGTATCACCAAAAGCATTTCCAAAGCCTTTCGATGCTCCATACTGAAGATCAGATAGTTGGCCAGAAAGAATAAGAAATAAGACAGTGTGGGTGGGAACGAAGTGATCAAGAACCCTATTGACTAACGAATATTCCAAGAAAAGAATGCAGATGGATCGAACACACGATGAGGAGATCGTTGGATGATATCGTGCTTCAGGCCCTCGAGTAGAATCCGATTGGGAAACGGTGAGCTGACCGTCACTTCAAGAGTGACACGGAACAGATCGTGCGAGGAGGAGATGAAAGAATATGGGAAATCGTAGGGGGGGGACAGGATGAAATGGAGATGTGCTGTTGAGTCCCTATGTTCCACTCGGAAACCCAGGGAATAATGATAATAATAAATAATCGGCTAGTAAAGTAGATGAGGTTTAGGAGTGCGTCACTCGAGGATCAAACCCGAACCATGTATGTTGTCACATAAGCTCAATTACTCGGAACAGATGTTTCACGTACCAGGCTAAGAGCCATACAACTATCATGTGAGGGCTGATGGTACTACTGAGTCGCCCTAATTTGTAAAACTGTGGATCCGTAATAACTGATGAAGCCTAAAAATGTATGAAACACATTCAAGTAGCATTTAAATGGAATGAATTATAAATGCAATGATATATGTGATGTTGCCGTCAAAAAAATAAAAAACAAAGACATTACGATGCAAAGGATGCACCGAAAAAAAACTTCACTTAACAACCACTTGGATTTCCACGGAATTGATCATGAGCCCCCCTCCCCACACCTATTGTGTAAACGCTTATAATAGCACACAGTTGTCCAAACCTCAATAAGTGGACAGAGGTTCAGACCTGTGTTCCCATAGGGATCAATACATCTTTATAAAAAAGCCATAACACTTACACACACACTATTATTAATATACATGCACTTACCTCAATCTCTTCAGCTGTTTCACCCTTTAAAATATAACTACGGCATAATTCCCCTGGGCCTCTGAAACGGATAGCCATTTTTAAATCATCCAACATTTCAACAATATGACAGTCTAAAAATATTATTCCCAATGGTTCTTTATCCAACTTTTTATCAAAATAGGCTAGAATATTTCCACACAGGATAAAATATCTTCTTTTATAAGCTTTTTTCTGTTCTGAACGTTTTTTCCATAAGAAGCCAACTTTTTCTTCTTTTTCATAAGTTAAAAAATTAGTCACTGTTTTAGGATTAAATATTGGCATTTCAGTGATTTCGAATGAAGATGTAAGCAAATAACGACGACAGAAGAAAAAATAAAAGAGAATTCACAGTGTTCACAGAGATATCACATGTACAGAATCATCATTGTCATCATATTGGAAAAGGGGATATCGACTGGTGATTACATACTTTCTCACGTTGGATATGATTATGAGCAAATTAGCACGAAATAAATCTATAAGAAGAGAAACGAAAAAAACAAACTCTGAATGAGATGAAAGAGAAATGTAGCAGAATGCGCAAGCATCAGCTCCCAGGAGCTGGTGGGAATAACACTTCCATCAGTTCAGACTTGTTTCGATTTATTAATATATATCTAAGACTTGGGCACTGTGGTAGTATGTGATTCCATATTAGTTTGTTTATTAGATGCATCACACACAGTGAGTGTAACAGTATTATTTACTGGATGACGTTTCGAACACAATTTATTGTTTATGATCATATCAATTATAACCACACAACTTTACAACTTTCGTTTTATGGTTTTCTTTATTCTTCGATATTCGTCGGCATAGGGATTGTAGAATTTTCCAGATGTCCAGGTATTGAATTATTCCTATTACACGTGTTTGCAGTTGATTCGATAAACAAAGCTTCTGTTATCAATCTCTCCCTCCACCCTGTTACATTGGATTTTAAACCTGAGCAATATTGAGGTTAGGCGTCGAGTGCTAGGTAAGGCGGGGAAATCAATCGACGAGACTGTGAAATTACTTCGACTGAGATGGTTAGGACATGTGCTACGTATGCCTAGTCATCGCCTTCCTCGACGGGCAATGTTAGCTGATATAGGGTCAGGCTGGAAAAGAGCTAGCGGCGGTCAAACCAAAACATGGCACCAATCAATGAAATCCACAACAGTTAATCTAAGCCACGTAGGAAGATGTAGACTTCCTGGTTGGGGCCCTCGGGATGGTAAAAACCAATGGTTGGAAACAATTGGTGACATGGCTCAAAATCGTTCTCAGTGGCTGGTGCAGATGCATCCACTCCTTGTGACTTATGATTTCCAATTAAACTTTTGTTCTCCGTTATTACTATTCCTTTGTCTCACACCTCTGTTTACTGTCTATATTATGCATTTCTTCTACTTCCTTCTCTTGCTTTGCGTGCTACATAGATTGTGGCGACTTGAACTGCCGCACATATGTGCAAAGTTCTATGTCGAAAACCGACCGACCGACCGACCATCTTATCCCATCCATCCTATTGTATGGGTGTGTATAATTTCATGTAGTGAGTGATATAGCTGAATTATTCTCTAGATTTCTTATCTTATTCGGGTCAAATAATCCAGATTTTGTTAGGCTTTTATGCTCGGCTAGTCTCACTGACTGCCCCTATTCTACTACTTTGATCTGGCAATCATTCCAGCAGGGTATTAGATAAACTAAATTGTTTTGTTTAATTGGCTCGACAGGACTGATCCTTTAACCGACAAAGCTTGTTTTTAATTGAGTTTGTGGGTTTGAATACAACTTTTATTCCTGCCTCCATTGTTAAGAATTCTGCGTAAGGTTTCTGAGGTTCGTTCCTTGTATGGAAGTACTACTGATGATTTAGATTCCTTATTGTTGGCGTTGTCATTATTCTGTACATTTTTGACACGCATTTCGTCATTAATATTACTATTATTATTATTATCACTATCACTATTATTATTAAAAATTTGATTTTTACATTCACCTACATACTTCCTGAATAATTTTTCAGGGTAATTATTACTAGAATCACCAAAGATATGTTCACCTCTTTGTATACATCTCTGCTGGTGACGTCAAGACTGGAAAACTGTATCCAGGCAGTGAGTCCTGCCTGGTATGATTATGAGCAATAAATTGTGTTCAGTAAATATGACTGTATAACACTGTGACTTTATCAAAATAAATATTATCCAAGATGGAAGAAAACTAAGTACTTGACTGCTGTATGAATAATGGACTAAATAGGTATATACAGAGGGAGCTTGACAGGATAATTTGTATTCTGAGAGTGAGATTTTGAGGTAGATTAAGGAAAATAATCAGAAATATAAACGGATGTCAGAACATTACATTCAATAGTAATCTTTTTGCTAATTTTGCGACTTTTATTGACTCACAGTCGACCATGGTGGCTGCCATAATTTAACTAGCATTTTGAAGAGGAAATAATTTTCAGAAAACTTCCCTAGTACATCACTCAATCACTTCTTCGTAAGTGAAACCTGGGCACTTCAAGCTACTCATTTAGATAAAACAAAATACAAGTTGAGACAGTTTAAGACAATAGTTTAGTTGAAAATGTTAAACTTATTTAGTACTTTATGTTGTCGTTGTTACATTTTAATCACTATAATGGATATCAGGAAATATGTTATTCAATTAATTGAAAATGAGTAGTAACTCCAAGAAATGTTATGGAAGAATGACTACAGGTTTCTATGATTTCAGTTTATGCATTAAAGTCTCCATAAATGAACATTGATTTGCAGTTATTTATCACTTTGTCTACTTCATCTTATGTAGATGATTTAAACATTATCGGACATCTCTGATATGTTACCTCAAGTTATGCAAAATTATGTCATTAAATTAGAACTTGGCATGAAATACATCGTATGAGGATAATATATGCAACCAGGACTTAGAGTCCCTTTACTTTGTGAAACTACTCGATGAAAACTCCAATTTACTCTTCTTCCATAACTTTATTTCAGACAGTACATAAAAGATATGGGAAGCTGCAAAGACTTTATATAGAACACAGACAATTAAAAGTACATATTGTCCGATTGTTATTTTTCTGTGACATGATTTTGAAATATGGTATAAGATTCTATTATTTATATTTTTCATGCAAGAAAACTTGAATGAAAGTAGTGAGAAATTTAAAAACATACTGTGCGGCCACAGCTTTATTAAGCTAAATATGTTCTGTAACTCTTATATTGATCTTTTATTACACCGTACGTTGGCTAAAATCCTCCCGTAACACGTAGGTATGTCTTATGAGAAACCGGACAGTTAATAATGCATCGACTGGTGTACGTGCATTATGGAGTATGGAGCAAATAAAATCATTTCCAAACCGCGAAATTTTGAATTGATTCCAAGGCAACTTAATGCCAAAACTTGCGAGAAATATAACATAGTATCTCCGTTTTCCCCAAAGTCCCGGATAGTTTATTAGGGGATGTGCGAATGTTTCATATGCATTGCATTCACTTGCTGCGCACTTGTTTGTGCGGCCTATAGGGAGTGTTAAGCTCTAAGCACAGATGATCCTGAACGCACCTTAGCCTAAATATTAACTATCTTTCCCAAAACACACCGGAAGCTTACAAGATATCTCATTTAATGATAGAACGCCCTCCTAAGTATATTTTATCTATGATTACAATGTTGTTTACCAGGTTTCACTAACTTGCTCGGTGAACGTTTTAAGGTCATTGGTGTGGTCGCGCTCCACTAGGTACCGGCTGGTAACCACCTAGCTAGCATTTTCTTCGGGCGCACTGCAGACTTTTCGGAGCAAAAACCTTCGGGCGCATTGCAGATTTTGAGTATTTGAACCTAAGTCTGCCCCAAAAAGTCTGCAGTGCGCCTGAAGTCCGCCAAAAAGTCTGCAATGTACCCGAAATCATTGCTGGCTGGGCACTGGTGCCTAAGGTTTAACTTGGCCGGCCTATGATTTCTGTGCAGCCGAGTCTAAGGAAGTCGAAAGCCACAGTATTCATATTATTAGTAGATTAATTATGCGACTGGACACTAATTTATGACATGTTAAAAGTAGGGTTTCAATTCAAGTCAAATAAAATAGCTCCATTATGGATAAGATTTTATTTTGATAAATCACACAGTGTTGTACAGTTATATTAACTGATGATGTTTCGAGCACAAACTATTGCTCATAATCATATCAAGTTACTCACACAACTTTTTTGTTTCATTTATATACATGTGTGGAATATGATTATGAGCAATAGTTTGTGCTCGAAACGTCATCAGTTAATATAACTGTACAATACTGTGTGATTTATCAAAATAAAATCTTATCCATAATGGAGTTGTACTCTACCACAGCGCTCAAGTTTCATACTTATATCATATTAAATAGGTTATGACGAACAATTTTCAAAGCTTCGTGAATTATTTAGTGCAAAATTTTTAGGTGAACCCCTAGGTTTTTAACACATTTAAATAGGTAAAGGAGTCATGGAACAAAAGTAACATGAAAATTCGACCAACTTTAACGATGTAACGTTTACGTTAAACTACGCGCCTCCCAATATCCAATATCGTTTCTACGAGCTAGTATAAACCTATTTGATTTCTTTGTGCTCTCTCCTTGATTATGAGGTTAAGGTTCCTGATCTTCGGTAAACTTCTCCTTAGTTCGTCCCACTACTCGACTGACTTAGCTTTGGTTGACTCAAAAAGTAGTGCGGGATTAATTATATGTTGTTTGCAGTATGCGGTGTGTTAAGACTTTGTTACTACTGTGAATGGAGTTAATGCTTTCATCAGTAATTCGTCAAAAGAAAAGAAATGATGATAATGATAATAACAGATTTAAATGGTGTAGTTTATTCAGACAGAAAAAGAAATAAAGAAAAAGTAAAAACAGACGGCTAATTAAATTTGAAGTTGAAATATATATGCATATAAATGTATATGTGTATAACATCAATGATGATGATAATAATATTAGTGATAATAATAAGTGTAGTAGTTGGAGTAGTCAAAAGAATAAGACGGGAGAGAATGTAAAGAAGTGAAACGACGAATTTACTTGTCTACCCGTGAATGGCGTGTGGGATTTTGGACAGTGGGATTTGGACTCAGTCCTTGTGTCACCGCCCTCGCTTAAAGGTGCCCAGAGACGGTGCCACAGCTACATCTGCCGTTAAGGAGTTCCAGGGACGGCAAACCCGCAGTGAAAAGAAGTGGGAGCGCACCCGAATCCTTGCCATTTGGTGAGATTTCCGCGAGGAAGCCTTGCAACTAAAAGTCTTTGAATATTAAATCCCTCATTTTGCTTGGATAGGACTTCCAAACCCATTTTAGTCAAACCTAAACCGTCCTAAAACTTTAAAAACGTAGATATTCCACAACTACCCTCATAAAATGTAGCGTACAATACGACAACACACTCATTTATTGAGCTTAATGTATTCTTTGATAATACGAATTCTAATATTGATTACACTCTTATCATATATAGCTTGATTTACTTTACGGCTCCCTGTAAGACCACCTTTCTTCAGTATACACACACTGCAGTATTGTTAACCAAATGTTAAAATTTTGTTGGTTCTGTGTTAATATCTTTTTATTATATGTGTAGACAGGTTACTTTGCAATGTCAAATGTTTGCTATATAAAACACTATCATGATAATCTAGTGCAATAAGTCCTGCCAACCGACCTTACCTTCAGTTCATTCTACCTACATTGAACTCTAACTATTTTGTTCTGCTGAATCTTGCTACACTATTCACAAAACCTATTCCTTTTACTCTTTAAGGGTGTGCGTCGGTGGCACAGTGGTTAGGACTCTCGCCGACCATGCACATGGTCCGGGGTTCGATCCCTTGCCGACGCACACCCGATATCTATGGTCGGCCTGCAAAATTTGGGCTACCGATATCCATGCTGAAAATTCCATACTTGTACCAAAAATACGGTGTGGAATCAAGCTGTAATCAAAATGAAATAAATAAAATAGTTTAACATCTTGCAAACTAATCTGTTCATTAGGACGCATGCATACATATATAGTATGTTCATAAATCTTTATGTGGAGATCTATCGGAAACACTCGCTAAAAAAGCTAGAGAAATGGAATGTGAGGTACGAACGTGTCTGGAACCAAGCAATATATTTGCTGTAGCCATAACAATCAGAGCCTAACATCATAAAAGGAGGGAGGGTGGCGCATGCTGATCAGTAGACATGTTAGTGGTCACTAAGGTGAATCGCCCCATTCTGCAGGAACAGCAATATGCAATTTGACGGCTGGAGATTTCTATGAGGGCTTGGATCGTTATCTTGAAAAAGATAATAATGTTCGCCTAGACAGACCATGCTTCTACCTTTAAACATATACCATTCGCTCAGCCTATTGTTGAGATGCGACCACGTGAGCTCTGTACAGATTTATGGGGCATCTTATAAATTAACATGCTTACCTTTGTCGAATCCTTGAATACCACTTCACAATGTCTCATCTCATTCATTTTCTGGCCAAGTTAAACTTTAGACACCAATAACTACCAATCAGCGATGACGTCGAATTATCCAATGAGATTCACGAACGTGCTTCAGTGTTGTATAGCGCTTGATTCATTTCAATGCGTGCCCTTACAAGGTTACGTTTGCAATTTGAGGAGGATAGTGTCTTTCAGTATTGCCTGAACTTAGGCTTGCTTCTAAAGGAGAGAAGTTGTTCGTGTGGTGATATAATGACTCTAAAAAGCTATACTAGGTCAACTGATGGTTTTTTACATCGTTGTGGAATATGCTGGAAGCGAGTTAGTATTGGAGGGTAATATTTCGTGGGAACTTTTTTGCTAGGTCGCATCTCTCCCTAACCCAGATTTTGTACATTTGCAATTACTGGGTACTGAAACAGCTCGTGAGAGCCGCTGCTGCCGAGATGGAGAGCAGGGGAAAGGCTATGATTCATTGTCATCCCTGGGATACGTTCATCACAGTGTGAACCACTCCAGTGATTCCGTGGATCCTCTTACTGGGACTCATACGAATTCAATTGAAGGTTCTTGGGGGAGATTGAAAAATAGGGTCCGGGCTATAAATGGATCGCAAAAGGATGTCATTTTTAGTCATTTGGACGAATATATGTACAGAATGTGATGCGATTTTTCTTTTGAGAGTCCCATGTTGAATTGGGAGGTGTTTTTGTCCCATGTTCGAGAAAGATACTCCATGTAACGGTTTTATACTTTTTTCTATGTATTTTTGTACAAATACACGCTTCCACTTATCATAAACGCATCTTTAATGTGATTGGTCCGTTCAAGGTCGTTTGCTGATTGGTTGTTATTGGTGTCGAAAGTTTAACTTTGCCATTTTCTAATAACGTCTTCACTTGCTCCTCATTATATTCCATTAAACCTAACATTTTCTAGCTCTTTATGAATTCGATTCTATTTATTCTATTCCTATTCTCTATAGGGTACGGTTGTGCACCAAATACACAAAATGGTATGAAATAAAAACAACCGGCTTGTAGATAATTGCATTAAAACCAAAAGTGGACATCACGATAGTAAGACATATATGGGTAGGCATTATACATTGCAAATGAACTTTGTCATCCTAGGGATTATGGTCTCCCATTGTATTTTCTTTATGAATGCATCTATTACTGATGCATTGCACTTACCTATTTCATTACACTTTACTGATTCACCTTAGCAGCTTTAATTTTCTAAAACAGCTTACTATCCCTTGTAAACGTTGTACTTACCTCAATATTGGTTGGTTATCGTATGCCCAAAAACCACGGGTTGAAAATGAAACAAAGTCGATTTTCCTGCGCAACCTGGAGGACTACTGTACAATTCAATAATAATACGGCCTGCTTCAGGCAATGAGTGTATTTATGTATATATCAAATATTTCGCTGTTCAAACATATTATAAACTTGTAGGCAATCTTCTATTTGACATTATATCATACTTGATCGTGCCTGTAAAAATGGCATGCATTTTCATGTTAATTTATGTTCATATGAAAATATACATTATTATTATTACTTGACTACATACGTGCTGCGAAGAGGTCAGCAAATAATGAACGAAGGAGATGCTACATATCTACTTTATTAATTTTTTATCTTTGACTATAACAGCATTTTTCTACAAATATGGAATTTTCAGCATGTGAAATCGGCAGCCCAAATTTAGTAGACTGACCATGTCAATGTCCAGGTCTAACTACCCTGGACTTAACGCTGTTCTTAAAAGAATTTCAGAAACTATTGTCAACAACCAACGCGAAAAACCGGAACATAAATTGGTGATTCAAGAATCCTATATTCTTGCGCCAATACAGAACCAACCACAAGGTTATTGTACACAAAATCTAAGGATAAATGTTATAACAATTAATCACAATAATACTTCTGATAGAATTGATATAAGAATAAAACTTGGGCACTGTGGTAGAGTGTAATTCCATTATGGGTAAATTTTTATTTTGATAGAGTCTCACAGTGTTATACAGTAATATTTACTGATGACGTTTCGAGCACAAACTATTGCTCATAATCATATCAAGTTACTCACACAACTTCTTTCCTTCATTTATATACATGTGTGGAGTCGACTAGATATTGGATTAAAATTCAATATGAGATAATGTACATTCGTACTATTATTTCTGAATGTACATTATCTCATATTGAATTTTAATCCAATATCTAGTCGATTCCACACATGTATATAAATGAAGGAAAGAAGTTGTGTGAGTAACTTGATATGATTATGAGCAATAGTTTGTGCTCGAAACGTCATCGGGAAATACTTCTGATAGTTTTTCTCTGTCTTCTAACTAACAGCGAATGATAGTACGATGACTACAGTATCGATGACTCCCGGCAAAATATAGAGTTGGGTTTGAGCAAACAACCATGAATTGATCGTTCGTTCTTCAACTACTTTAACAGACCATTAATATCAGGTTTGTCTCAGCAGGGGATCGAACCCCGGACCATGTGCATGGTCGGCGAGCGTCATAACCCCTGTTGATATGTTTCTCCACTAGCTGGGAACTAGATATTGACGGTGTATAATAATATGAATATAGTTGTTTGGTACTTGAGCACCGGGATTATCACAGTTACACAAACAACATGCTATTTCTCTTAGAGAGCACAGAGACGAAATCCACTTAAACTGTAGTCTTGACGGTTACGCTTCCCCCGTTTACTTAATCAATAACTCCAAAGATAAATTTTAGGCAAAGTTCTACAATTATTTCTACAGTTTCCTCAGCTTCTGCTGGCTATCGGGCTATGGAACAGTAAGCTGGTCTATACATTTCCAGGATTGGTCTGAGTTTTCCTAGTGTAATGCCTCAGATTTCAGGAAGTATTATGATAATCAGACTGGGGAACGTGTCGCGAAAATTTATCATCAACAGCAGATTGTGGGTCATTTTGGACACCACAGATCTTTTATGGGAAGTAATAATAATGCGGCCGGAGATGAGTCATTCACAAAGAAGGAGGAATAACGGTTGTGTTAGAGGATAATATCCTTTTGAGCTTTACTCTTGCGTCAGAGAAGCATGCAAGTTTTTTTTAATATTATGGTAAAGCCCTAAACAATAAGATTATTTTATTTTTTATTTATTACAGCTTGATGCTGTTACGCTGTCACCTCAGAATGTTTTCGCCTTCTCAAAAACCACAGCAACTCTAAGGACACAAAACGAAGTTAAAAATAAGCCTATATATAAGCGAAATCATTTTAAGCCTTCAAATGAAACTTTGAAAAGGAAGTGAATTTTACACGCTCTCGTTTAGTTTTGGCTTTTGTTGTGTTATACGCTCCAAAAGTCTACAGATTAACTTTAAATCAGTTTATTCTGATCAAAGTTAGTTTACTTTTCAGATCTGAGTCTATTTAAATTATAGGAAATTGTGTCTTATAACATAATAGTTATATATATTTGTGCACTCATTGATTTTTATCGCTGATTTATAAAGGTCTATATACATCTAAGTTATGTTTAACTTTCTTCGCCAGTCCGTTCTAGACAGTATGCCCATCAAAAAACCCGCTGCAGAAGGGTTATGTGCCAATTCCCAGTGGATGAGGGAATGCAGTGTGATAACTGCAAGAGATGGTTTCACAGTATGTGCACAAACCTAACTCCTGCAGCATACAAACGCTGCTGCAAACCTCTAGCAAACTGGTTGTGCAATGACTGTTGTAGTACTACCAAACTCCGTATTACAGAAGCCATTGCCACTCTTAGCGGGGCTTTAAAGCTCATGGACTGCAAGGGTCTTCCATCACAGGAGAAGACTGACTACTTCTCAGACACCGAAGATGCGACTAGCGTCATCGACAAAACAGTACATGTTCCTGATGAGTCTTTGTCAATGGCTGAGTGCCCTTCAGCACAGAAGAGCACTCACCACATTCCAGACACCCAGGCTGCCCCCACGATACTGGATAAGCCCTCCAGTGACAGTAATGGAAAGACTGCCACAAAGAAGAGGCGTACCAGGGGTCGTAAACCTACAACTCAAGTCACCCAGGTACTAGCGAATCAAGCCTCATCCACACCGGTGAGGCAGGCAGATAAATCCTGCTACGACTAGTGAGGAGAACGCCAATGAATGGCGTAACGTAGTCTCTCGCAAAAAGCGAGATAGGGACAATACATTGGCCACACTGCCCACGAAGGACAGAAAGACATTCACGCCGCAGAGCAAGAAAACCACGGCAAGCAAACCTGATCTCTCTGACAGGTCGCTCATTCTCCACGAAGTGGAAGAGTCATTGGCCCCCGAACCCAAGACTAGATTTGAGCATGACCTTAACTTGGTTAAGCCCCTTTTAGACAAGCTACTGCCACAAACAGTATCAGGCATTACTATACATAGCGTATATAGAATAGGCCAAAAGCCTGTCCCTACAGTAAGTCAGCCTGTACGTCTCCTCAAAGTCGTACTAAACTCTAAAGAAGAGAGGGATGCTATTCTAAGCAACCCTCATATACTTAAAGGATCAGGCATATATGTCCGCGCCGACTTAAGCCTGGCAGACCGTGTCAAAAGACAGTCTGCGGCCCTAGAATTAAGCGAACGACACCGAAACGGCGAAAAGAACCTTAAGATTAAGGGTTTTCGGGTTGTTCAAGTTCGCAGTTTAATGATCCCGAAACCTCTGTGGGTAGGCCGGGGAAGCACCAAACTGAATTAACAATTTGCTACACAAACGCCCGCAGCCTGTTAAATAAACGGACTGAGCTGGTTAACATGATAGACTCCGGAAACCCGGATGTAATTATTATCACAGAGACATGGCTCACACCCAATGTCACTGACAGCGAAGTTAACCTGCCAAACTTCGAAGTGCATAGGGTGGACCGACTAAACCGCAAAGGAGGTGGCGTAGTCATCTACCTCAAGAAATGCTTAACCGTGCGTAGTATCTAAGCACTCGCTCACGAAAGTGAGTCGTGCGAACTTCTACGCTGCAGACTTAAATGCATAGGCCAAGACATTGACCTCATTGCTATGTACCGCAGTCCTGACTGCAGTGCAGATGACTTCCTGATAGAGAAGCTAGGCTCCTGGACCTCGAAATGTCGAAATCTCGTAGTTGGCGACTTCAGTGCTCCAACAGTTGACTGGATGAGCCTAACAACTCCATCCTCAATCAACTCCTTTGATTATAAACTGCTGGAATCTAGTATATCGTTAGCTCTAGTCCAACATATCATCAAGCACACGCGCTATGACTAACAGCACTCCTCCTCAACTCTGGACCTAGTGTTCTCCCATGGTGAGGATGTAGATCTCATACAAAATCTTCCTCCTTTAGGAAGAAGTGACCATGCTGTGCTCACTTTCAAGTTCACAGCAACGGCAGCAAGGGCCAAAACCCCATCTCGACCAAACGTTTGGAAAGCTGATATAAATGCAATCGTCTCAGCAGCCAACTCAGTAAACTGGTACATCAACCCAGAGTCTCAAGTAGAAGCCGCATGGAACCAATTTAAACAACTTTACGCCCAAGTAACTGAACCTTTCATCCCTTGGTCTGTCCCAAAGGGTCGGAAACACTGCCCTCCTTGGATAAACCGAGAGATTCGTAAGTTACTTAGACGTAAACACAAATGTTGGAACTTGTTTGCCACACTTGAGACTTCTGAGACCAGGCAATTATATAACACTGCTAGAAATAAAGCTATTGCAGAAATCCGCAAATCAAGGATGAAATTCGAAGCACACCTGCCTCAAAATGCAAAGGCACAACCTAAGAAAATTTTCTCGTACATGAACTTCAGGAATAAAACATCCAATGGTGTCCCAAACCTGACTATTGACAATGATACAATCGAAGAAGATCAAGAAAAAGCAGAAGCAATGGCAAACTACTTCTCCCAAGTCTTCACTCAGGAGTCGTCACTGCCTACCGGATCAGCTCTGACTGCATCAGAAGAACATGGGATAGATTCCGTTGACATCAACCAAGGCATCGTGCTCAACTGCCTAAGGAAACTAGATGCAGGGAAATCAATGGGTCCTGACAATCTTCACCCAAGGCTTCTCAAGGAGTTATCAGCACACATAGCCGGCCCTTTGACTACGATCTTCAAGCTTTCTCTCCAAAATGGAGTGTTACCGCGTGACTGGAAAGACGCCATAGTAACCCCCATCCACAAAGGAGGATCAAGACAAAGCCCTTCAAATTACAGGCCTATCAGTTTCACCAGCACTTTAATTAAGACACTGGAGATAATCATCAAGAAAAGCATAATGGCATATCTAGAAAATAGAAGTTTATTATCAAGAGCACAGCATGGCTTCCGAAGGAACCTCTCATGCCTGTCAAATCTTCTCACTGCAAGAGAAAGCTGGATCAAATCCAGGGACAACAGAAGACCCGTTGATGTCGTCTTCATAGGCTTCAGCCTTTGATAAAGTACCTCACAAAAGACTACTCATGAAGTTGGAAAGTCTTGGCATCAAAGGCAGCTTACTAAACTGGCTCAGGGAATTCCTCATAGATAGGAGGCAGAGGGTTAGGATCAACTCGAAACTCTCCTCTTGGACAGCAGTACGCAGCGGAGTGCCACAAGGCACGGTACTTGGACCTCTCCTATTTATTTTGTATATCAATGAGTTATCTCTGCTCACCGATTCCCCTATGGTCCTATACGCAGATGACTTAAAAATTTGGAGAGAGCTGAAGGGCAGCAGTGACACGTCCACGTTGCAAGAGGACCTCAACAAATTGTCAGAGTGGTCCATAGAATGGATGCTCCCGATAAACGTGACAAAATGTGCAACCATGCGCATTGGACAAGCAAGCACGAGCTCTTATGAACTAGAGGGAATTACACTTCCATCAGTTCAGACTTACTTGGACTTAGGTGTCATAGTTAGCCACGACTTAAAAACTACAGCACACTGTCGCGCGGTGGCTGCACGTAGTTTCAGGTCATTATGAGCAATTCGTAGAGCCTTCACTAGAATCACCAGAGATATGTTCACCTCCTTATATACATCTCTGGTGAGGTCAAGACTGGAAAACTGCATCCAGGCCGCCAGCCCTTGTCTAAAAGGGGACTCACTTATTCTAGAAAGGGTTCAAAGGAAAGCAACACGTATGATTCATGGCATGACTAACTTATCATACGAGGAAAGACCAGACAGTTTAAATCTCTTGTCCTTGTCATACCGAAGGCAGAGAGGAGATTTAATCACAATGTTTAAAATTTTAAATAATGACTACGGACCTGACATATTTTCTCTTTTCCTTCCCACCAGGTCGGAACACCTTAGAGGACATAGCAGGAGAGTTCAAAAGCCAAGAAGAAATCATATTGCTGTTGAGTACTGGTTCTCACACCGAGTCATAAACTCTTGGAACCGACTCCCAGAAGAAGTGTTGTCTGCAACCTCAGTTGATTCGTTCAAGAAGGGTTTGGACAACCACAGAAATTTACTAGAAAAGGATTAACATAGGCTCCAAGCCTTCTATCCTCAACCAATAAATCTGAATCTGAGTGTGTTTAAAACTATTGTGTTGTTGTGGCAACTGAGGCGGATATTCAAATAGTCTAGGATTTTAAGAGTAAAATCCAATTACCTATGTTTTTGTCTCTTTATAGTTTTTGTTACTCTTTATCTCCCAGAGCGAATGCCGTCACTTAAGGCAGAGTTATTTCGAATATAAATAAGACTATTATTGAGTGACCCGTAAATTTTGTTACGTATAATTAAGCGGGGAATTGTCTGCAGATAGGATAAGTAAGAAAATGATGCACATATATTGGTCGTTCAGAATTTATTTTACATCACTTGTTTCACTCTGGTCTACTGTATGCATCCTTCAACCAGTATTTATTAATTGCTCAGGGTAGATAGATATATGACCACATCACTACGTATTGTTCCATTTCATGTCTTACTAAAAGAAGTAAAATTATAACTGACAGGGAAACTGTAATATTGTCTACTCCTGTAATTTCAGTGTCCAGTTGATGAAGTATAGAGCAGGCTGCTAAGAAATACGATATTTCGTGGACACCTACTTTCAAACTTATTGATTGTATTATTATTATATCATGGATTTTCCTTGTGGTATGAGGCAAATGGAGATAATTAACCAAAAAAATGTCAGTTTAATAAGGAGTTGAAAACTTGATTTTCAAATAAATCCATAAAGTTTTTCGGTTTTTTGTTGAACTGCCAGAACAGCTTAACTCTTCAGTGCAATTATCGCAGCTGTGATAATAGAAAACGTTTCTAATTCAAATTTTAATAATGTTGACTAGTAGCTTTGATGTAATCAGTGGACTATTCCATATATTGTTAAATCAGATTTAACTCTAATAAATGCAATGTAATTAACGCCTCTTAGGGAAGTTTCCACCATTTTTCATTCGATACACCCCACATATCTGACATCCAAGGACTTAACGTATAGTAATGGTGTAACAACAGAAGGCAAGGTCCAGACAACAGATCATTTAGTTAGGAAATCAACAGTTATTTATAGATTTTCATGTACATTTTTATAGATTATTGTAAGCAATCAAACACAGTCTTCTGATTGGTGTTTTCTCGCTGAACGTTAATCTTTCATCTCTTTGTGGCTGTTTCTTGAAGTTCAGATTATCTATCTGCCCATAGTATCCGCCTAGGCAAAGTTTGCTGTGATTGTTTGTTGAATCAGTCTTTGTTCTTATTTTCCTAACGACCAATATTGGGGGCGTAAACATTGAAGTAAATTACTGTCTACCGATTTGGCTAGCAGCCAGCTCTCACCACAATGTGAGACCGTGACTTGATCGCAACTGCGCGGTACACTAATTTTGCAACGGAGAAACTAGTTTTGTTCCGTCCGTTTGAAGAGCATTTATATGACTTCATGCTTTTATTTTTCGGGCTTCATGTCATTGCATAAATTCAGTCCCCCTCGAAAAATTTCATTTCAGAACTTAATACATGCAGTGGAACATTGGTCTGTTTAATTTTTGCCATGAGAAGAGTTTAGAAGATTTACTGACTTAACCATGACACTCAAATTGCTACATCTTATTCCTACGTAGTCGGTTTAGACAGCTTTTGGATATTCGGGAACGCAGTTATTTCCCTGAAATTATGCTACTCAGTCATTATAACCTTGTCTTTTGTATAATAAAAATACTCAATGTTTACTGGACGACTCAAAGCAATCAAAGTGCTAGTTTATCTTCATTGTAGAACTTCATATAAATACTACTGTCATTCTCACTTTTGTGTCTTTGGAACAGACATGTCGATCATTCTGCATCCCTGCCGACCGCCTATATCTATACACTTTAACTCACAATTTTTGGACTATAGGACATTTTAACTCTCTTACGAAGTGAACTTAAGGAATTAAATGTAACCGAAATTCCATATTTGACAGGAACCTCACGTAAATTTTCTAGTATTCTTCCTCTATACGATAAAACTCCTATCTTGTCTTTATTGTAACTATTGTCTACGTCATTAGTCATTTTATTGAAAGACATTATAAAACTTTTAGGGAATTCTAGGGAATTGTATTGCATTGTTTGTCTTATGTTTCATGATTTGTAACAGAAGCCTTGCCCTTTTTGTTTAGGCTTAAAAGAAAGCCTGTATCAAAATTTGCCGAAGGAGATGAGATCAAATGTATCTGCCAGTAGGGTTTGCGGCAAAGGAGTGTATCCAAACTAAAACCCACCGCCCTATTCCATTTTGCAATTCGACTTGCGCGGGTCTCTTTATTCATTTCCTCACTCCTAAGTCAGCTAAATTTCATTTACCATCGAGTTCAGGTGTGTGGATATGGAGAAGTTTTGGATATGTGGGCTTACTGTCCACAGTATAAGGTCGTATGTCATTAGGCTATTCTACCACTTTCATAAGGTCTCAGTGTTTATCGTGTGAGAGCAGTGCAAGCCTTACATTGTTATGAGATTAATTCATGTACAACTATACATTATCAATACTGCACCTAGTATTGCTGCATTGCAGACCAAATCAATGAACCTTGTAAGCAAACTCCACTTAGACAGTCTAGTCGCAGACTGTTGATGTCAATAAACTGATTAAAAACTTCCTTTGTGACCCAGAATGGCAATTAGAGACTTTATAGATTGTTATCTCATCTTATTTTGACTAAATAGCTTCATTCAAAGCTTTTAAGTGTTGGTATGCAGGGATTCGATTTTTTACAGATTTGATCATGAGCCGACGGCAGGGAGTACATCAGTATGCACCTACCGGGTTTCGAACCCGTGACCCTGCAGTCTCAAGAAAAACTTATAGACCATTCAGCCACCGGGACATAATGCAACGGCCCCTGAATTCCAAGTTCTGTCAATCCACATGTTCTGTTAACTTTAAATATGACTATATATCATCTCTCGTTGTTTTTCGTGTAATGAAAAGAGACCCAGTCGGGGAAATTCCGTTGTTTTGTGAATTTGAAATTTTATATCTTATTGATTAATATAAAAGAAAAGAAGTTTAGTAAACGTATTAGACCTTTGAAGATACTGTAAACCCTTACCACATGCTGAACAGAAACTTCTATTCTATCGTAGTAATATTCATCCATCATTAATTTATGACAGGAATATATAGTTTGTGTCAAAAAAGCACTCGCTTTCTATTTAATTGGTCTATTCTTTTTATTGATATATTTTAGACTTGAAACTATCTGACTTTCTTAGACGATTAAAGCTTTTTAAATATGGCAACTGCTACAAAACCGGATGTTAAAGGGACTTATCCTAGTTGGTTTGAAAATCTACATGCTGAAGGGAGAGCAGCTGAAGACTCTAGAAATCTGTCATATGATCATAGACAATTAGTCAGAGCAACACGTATTGAAACGGATATTAAGACAAAGTAAGTTTTACTTGTTATATCCTTCTTAACACACATATACATACACTCATCGACACACAGGATGTCTTGTCCCTCAGTCTACGATATACATTTATTATTATTTTGATACTGAAATGTCTTTGTAGTGTGTGAAAAAGTTATGCGACGTGTTAAACTTGAAAACAATTTATTCTGTGGAGGCTGTAGACTTTGCATATTTGACATTACACTGTTTATTAGGTATAATATACAATGAAAGAGTATTATATTATATATATTATATTATACTATATGTATATTATTACCACAGAACGCGACTTAAGCAGATACGTATTTTCGGTAAATTCCCATCAGGCTTTACATTTACATAATGAAATATTAGTCACAGGAATGCGAATTAATGGATAACAGTCAACGTGGTGTTGGTGGTCATCATAACAAATATTAATAATAAGGATAAATCTATTCAAGTGTGTATATAATCTAGGTAATGGCGCGAGTGTTGTATAGGTAGAATGTGTGTGCATACTAACTAGTAACTGACGGGTAGAGGGGAAAATAACTATTGTCACATGGCGATTAGGTAATATACTACTAATAATAATGATAATAAATTGTGAAACGAAGATTAAAATGTACAACTAAAGCACCGAGAATACAGTTAGCATTACGGATAAAATAAGATGAGAAGATAGTATTCACAGTTATCTAGTTTCATCGGGAGAGATAACTATTCCGGTTGGGAGTGGTGAAGGCCAAGGGGGGGGAGAGATTGAACACACTCTTTCTGAGTACAGAGATTATTTTGGAAACTCACCTTATGGCAACTGCCTCAGCTATCTATGCTTACCAATTTAGGGAGTTGTGGTGGCACCACCTTCTGCAGCATTGCTAAATATGCACTATGTGTGAAACTTCTGATTGACTTTACGACTCCTTTACCTAACCACGTTGGACAATGCTCCAGAAGGCGATGATGAGCTTTCCGAGTCTTCCTACCTATGTAACTGTCTCCAAATGAACAGTTAAATTTATAAATGAATACTGAAGTGGCCAGACTCAGTAGCTTGTCCTTTACCTGAGTTGGGATCATATAGAGAGAGGCGAATTTTAAACACAATGTTGCTGCATTATGGGAATCTTTAATCAATTTTTTATTGTTCATAATCATGTCAATTATAACTACAAAACTTTGAAACTTCCGTTTTATGGTTTTCTCTATTACTTATTATCCCTAGTAGGCTAAGTGGAATTTCCCAGATGTCCAAAACAGATGTTGAATCATTTCTATAGCATGTACTTTTAGTTGATTCGATAAATAAAGCATCCGCCATCGATCTTTCTCTCCACCTTGTTAGATTAGACTTTAAGACTGTCATCCCATCTCATCCTACACTCAATTGCATGTAGTGCCTTAGCTGAACTATTCTGTAGATTTCTTATCTTATTCCGATCATTAAGTCTAGATTTTGCTAGGTTTTTATGCTCGGCTAGTCTGACTGCACCTGTTCTACTACTTTGACCTATGTATTTTACCTAACAATCATTCCAACAGGTTATTAGATAAACTAAATTATTTTGTTTAATTGGTTCCACAGGATCCTTTAAGCGAAAAGCTTGTTTCCAATTTAGTTTTTGGGTTTTAATGCCACTTTGATTCTTGCCTTGTTAAGAATTCGCAGTTTTCGAGGCTTCTGAGGTTCCTTCTTTGTATGGAAGTACTACTGACGATTTATATTCCCTGTTATTGCTGCTGTCATTATCCTGTGAATGGTTTTCAGGCATGTCATTATTATTATTATTACTGTTACTATTATTGACTAGTGAATATGTTTATGTATTACCAACCAATGACCAATAAGTGTCTATATACCCGCTTTACTCGAAGTGTTGTTCACCGATCTCCTCAGCATGTATCCTACTTATTTCCATTTTCTTCGGCGTATTTTTTGAGTGAATAGATTTTTGATTGATGTGTTCCCAGGATTCAATGTCACTAGTCCTTTCCAGCTACACATCGGTCTTCAGGATGTATCCTTCAAAGGAAACTTTTGATGATAGTCAGCAGTAGCTTGTTGGGAATGCTCTTCGTGATACCCCAAGTTTCTGATCCGTATAATGAAGAACTGACATAACATTGGTGTTGAAAATCTGAATTTCGTTCTTTATGCTGAGTGCAGCAGATTTCCAAACTGATTTCTGAGTGATGGAGGTCTATCTTGCCTTTTCGATTCTGATTTTACTATTCTCATTCGTGCTATTCGCCTGTAGTTGAATCGATGCTCCCTAGGTAAGTGAAAGAAGTGACATCTTTCAAATTTCTCTTGCTGATTGTGATTGGTGCTGGTTTTTGTCAGTGTTGGTTGGTCGGTTGGTTATTTTCATCACCTCCCTCCTCTTCTCTATGTTCACCTAGAGTCCTGTAGATTTTCGACTTTGTTTGATCTTGGAGGATCTGGACTTCGCCGATGATATATGTGTCTGATTTCCCACAAACTCGAAAATATGCAAGCGAAAAGCAACAAGTTGGCAGAAGAAGCATCAAAGATAGGAAGGACTTCAGGTGAACATAGAGAAAACAGAGGTGATGAAGATTCCTGGCCAACACCAACAGCAACAACAACAGACAGCAATCAGCATAAATGGGAGGAACCTGAAAGAAACAACCTCCTTCACTTGCCTACCTACCTGGGAAGCATCGTTTCAACCACAGGCCGACGGAACTGACGAGAATATCAAAGCAAGAATTGATCGGAAAAGCAAGACAAGCTTTCACTACTCTCAAGTCTGTGTGGAGGTCAACAGCACTCAGCGTCAAAATGATGATAAGATCCGGATTGTCAACTCCAATATGAAGTCAGTGATACTATACGGATGGATCAGAGACTTGCACTGCGCGTCATAAAGAGCATCTCAAACAAACTACACACCTTCATTAACAGCTAGTTGTCTTCGCTCAATACTCAAGATCAGATGGCCGGCCGGCCAGAAGAGATCAGCAACAGAAAGCGATCTCTGGGAGCGAACCAACCCAGCAGGAACCGATTGTGGAATAAATAGGCTGGAAGAAATGGAGGTAGTTGGATTGGCCATACTCTGAGGAAACCATCAAGTGACATCACTAGACAAGCCATTGCTCGAGTGGAACCCGACAGAATGGGAAGTGGCGGCGAGTTGGTCGTCAGTGCAAGGGTGACTTAGAGGAGGTCATGTGAAGAGGAGATGAAAGCGTGTGGGCAGACTTGGAGCCAGGTGAAGACTCTAGCAGAGAACCGAACGCAATGGAGACGCACGGCTGAAGCCCTATGTTCCTCTAGGAATTAAAGGAAACAGTAATAATAATAATAATAATGATCTTAGGCATAAACCGTCTGCAGTCGTATTGATATAAGAATGAAACTTGTGCACTGTGGTAGAGTATAATTCCATTATGGGTAAAATTTATTTTGATAAAGTCTCACAGTGTTATACAGTAGTTTTTTACTGATGAAGTTTCGAGCACAGTTTGTAGACTGCTCATAATCACATAAAGTTACTTACACAACTTTCTAACTTCGTTTATACGATTCCATTATTTTCCATCGCTTGATTTGATTGGTAGAAGTATCTTCCATATTACCGGTTTGAGTGATGAGTCATTCCTGTTGCATGTGTTGGTTGTAGACTCGATGAACAAGGATTCAAATCAAGCGATGGAAAATAATGGAATTATACAAACGAAGTTAGAAAGTTGTGTGAGTACCTTGATATGATTATGAACAGTAGTAAATTGTGTTCGAAACGTCATCAGTAAACATTACTGTATAACTTCTGCAGTTTTCTTATCGGCCCAACATATTCCATGATCTGTCGCATGATCCAGTCCACCACAGTCAGGAATATCGTTGGTGATAGTGTAACAACAGAAGGCTAGACACGGGAGCCAAGGTATATTTTTCATTGATCAAACCACTGTTTATATATGTACAGTTTATATTCTCTAACCAATCACTGAGCGTGTGATTTTGGTTTACATCAAACGACATGAAATAAAATGTTCAAATATGCATAGTATTCTGTCACCAATGCAGCATTGAACTGTGGAGATAATATTCCGACTCTAACACCAAACAGAATGTTCAAATAGATATATTGTATTCTGTTGTTAATGCCGAATTGAACTGTGGGAATGAGTGAGAATAACATTCCGTTGGCACACATTGTCTGTATCACACCACCACCTTGTCTTCCTCCTGTATTCACTTCAAAGGCTTTTTAGCACTTTCTTCTGTGGATCACCTGACGTGTGTCATTGTCATATAGTTGTTCAGTGAGTTTGAAAAAGATTTGTGGTACTCTGTAATGTTGAAGGAGTATCCCAATTACTTCTCGGTCGACGGTGTCGAAGGCATTTTCAAAGTCAGTGTAGTTGTTGAAGTAAAAATTTGACTACCATTCTACGCTTTGTTCGATGATGATGCGTAGAATTTCTGTTTGATCAGTACATGATTCACTTTCCTGAATCCAGCTTGTTCCAGTGTGTGTGTGTGGGGGGGGGAGTTCTGTATCCACAACATCCTGTAGTCTTTCCACTCAAAGGTGTAGGGCACTTACTTTATGAGATGAACTAGAATCTCATTAATCAATGTTTATCTCAGGAAAAACTATGGAAGTTAAGAAAGGTATCTTTTTTATACGAATCTTAATGAATATTAGCCTCATATCATTGGTTTTTAAAATAAAATGCGAATAAAATGCTTAGGTACTACTTAATATTGTTATAAGTAGTTGCAGTATAGTTTATGCATTTATTCTATGCATAACTGAACTGAAAGATAATATCCATCATAACAAAATGCATCTTAGAAAGTCAGCAGAGGTCATAATCAATTGTTGAAGTTTCTGACTGTTGCTCCCTATTAATTTGTTTATTAAACATATCACACAATGAAACAGTATTATGTACTGGATGACGATGTTTCGAATAAAATTTATTATTGTTCATAATCATATCGATTAATACTGTTTCACTGTGTGTGACATATCTGATAAACAAGTTAATTTGGAATTACATACTACTACAGTGCCCAAGTTTTAGGCATATATTAATTTCTTACTGTTGGTTTGGGTCAGAGAGAAGTGTAGACTACTGAGATAGTCTTTCTAGGTGAGGACGCTGATATAGTGCTTTGAATGTGATTCGCTCCCGCCAAATGTAAGATGATGCTACATTTATTTGAGTAGTTGCATCAGCCCCAACGGGTTGATCACCAACGAAATCTCAGAACGGATACAGAAGACTCTTGGGGGATACGCCAGTTTAGGCCATCTCTGGTGTAGATGTGATATCAGACTGGCTATCAACCAAAGGACGTGTGTACTGCCCAGCAATCCATTCTGTCCTCCTTTATGACTGGGGGATATAGCCATTGAGAGTGGAAGACATTAAAAGGTGTCTGCGTTCTATCTCCCGTCTCAGGTGGTGTAATGGAGTGATTATTATTGAAGTTAGACATCGGTCGAGTGCTACGTAAGGAGGTGAGGAAATCAGTAGACGAGGTTATGAAGTTACATCGACTGAGATGGTTAGGACATGCGTTGCACATGCATGCCTAGCCATCGACTTCATCGACAATGGGCAATGTTGGCTGACATAGGGTCACGTTGAAAAAAGAGGTAGTGGTGGTCAAACCTAAACTTGGCTTCATCAGTCAATGAAATCCACAACACTTAGTTGAAGCCACGTAGGAAGATGTAGATATCCTGGTTGGGGTCCTCAGGATTGTAGAAGCTAGTAACTGGAGACAATTGGTAATAGCGTTGGTTCAAAATCATCCTCAATGGCGCAGATGCATCCATTCCTTGCGACTTATAGTATCCAATAAAACTATATGGTTCTTCGATACTACTATTGTTTTCGCCTCATATCTCTGTTTACTGTCTCTATTTTGCATTTCCTTTTACTTTCTTCTCTGGCTTTGTGTGTTAAATAGAGTGTGGCGACTCGAACTGCTGCACATCGGTGCAAAGTTCTATGTTGAAACCAGTCAATCATTTGAAGCCAGTGGACTGCTTTAGTTGAATCTATGAATCACTGGTTGGGGACTTTTAATGGTGATATGATTTAAAATAGTCTGCGGCAACACAGATGCATCTGTTCGCTGTTGTTCTCTAGATTTGGGAAATTCGCACCAAACTTCATCTAACCATTGCCCGTTCTATACATTTTTTCCATTGTAGTTCTATTACATTTCTTTCCTCTACTTTGATATGTACCTTTGAAAAGTGTGGCAGCTTTAAAGGAGACGTCTATGTGAAACGTTCAACCTATCTTAACACCTCCCTTTTCCAATAATAAGTTTTCGGTTGGAGATCCACTAAGAGACCTTCGTAGTGTTTGTGACAGTTGTTCAAATGGTTTTTCATACTTTATCCTTGATGCAGTATTTCAGTGGGTAAATTTACTTGAAGTTTGTTAGTGACATCATCAGAACCATCTCGTTTCCTGATATGGTTTACATACTTTGACCATAGTAGTCCTTTGAATTTCACTTTATCAGTAACTTTCTCAGTTTTCTCTTTGATAATGACCCCAGTGGTTCGTTTTTAGATTAGATTTACCGCTGATCTACACACACTCATCAATCGATAAGGAATTGAATTTTGTCTTGTGTCTTCATATTTATTGATGTCTTACGTTTGCGTTTTGAGAGTCAGTCATCCATTTGAATATATTTTTAGCGAGTGATAACCCATTTATAACCGAATTATTTAGTGTTGATTGGTAGTCTCTCCCACGCTTTCTTCCAGGATGCCACCATTCTGATAGAACTCTTGTAAATGTCGTGATGTAAACTGAGTACCATTATTTGTTACAATTGTATTGGGTAGCCTAAAGCAGCAGAATACTTATATGAGTTTCTGAATTGTATCTGTTGCAGAAATAATCTCCATGATAGAAACTTCTAGCCATTTTGAAAATACATCGACACTTACCAAGAATTGTTTCCCTCAGAACAGATCAGAAAAATCAATGTGAATTCCTCATCATGAGCACTGTGGGACAGAATATGACTGTAATTCCACGTTCACTGGTAGGTTAGCAGTTTCCTCACACTTGCTACAACCATCCAAATTTGGGCGATAAACAACTTCATACTGATGTCTTAATGAGATAAATGTCACCACCGGAGTTCTGTTGCTCTTAAACCAACCAGTTATCACCTATTGAGAGGGAATTCTGTCTTTGATGCAAACTTTTCATATCTGGGCAGGTGATATGTGATGGCTAACGGGTCACAATAACCAGCTTCTTTGACCTTTGCAGCTGATAAGGATGGAGACTTGATAGGGTTTGTGAAAGCTCCTCTGATATCCTTTCCAACAGAGATCTTGGCAACCACCATGCCTTCATTTCCCTTAGACGAAGTGGTTGTCTGCGACAGTGATATCAGTCCCTATGAATGTTTGTTAGTCAAAAGTTCCTTCGAAGAATCCTTCACTTCTACTTGTGAATATGCTTTGCCAAGTGTTTTCCACCATTCAGCTTGGCAAAACTATCTTCTGTTAATGATAGTGTATATGAATGATTTTTCAACGGGATCGTTCAGTTCAGTCAAGAAACCTGCACAGATATGTACGACTCTGTATGACTTCTTTACTACAACAATTGGTGCTGCCTGCGAAGAAAACGTCCAATAGTTTAAGAGCATTTAATTCTTTTAATAGACCCAACTTTCTATCAACTGATTCAAGGGTTAAGTAGGGAACTGGTCTTCTGAACTTAAAAACTGGCTTGGTATCATTTCGGAGAAGTAATTTAGCTTTCTGGATTGAGCCATATCCAAAAGTGTCAATGACTACTGCTTTATGCTTATTGCATAGAACACCGATCAAGTTATTTCCACGTCCGCTGACAGGTGCTTGAGACGACGCACATACTTGTGAACAAACCGAATTTAAGAGTATTTCCCGAAGGTAAAGTTTATTGACGCAATCAGTCTCGAAAATGACCAAATCGTGAAATAAACCTTTGGAATTCTTTGACCTGGATTTAACATCACAGGCAATATCATCAACTACTTTTAAAATATCTCCAGAAGCATATTTAGCAGCAGGAATTGCAGTGGAAACTCGTGGGCATAAAATCTTATGTCAAGATTTTTGGAAGATCAAAGTTATGTCTCAGATAGAGTCAAGCTGAAGTCTAACTGGATGATCATCCTAAGATGCCTCAATATATTTGCATTTATTCAAAACTTGATCATCAGAAACACCGAAAACTACCTTGGTCTTCTTCTTGGAAGTGGGCACTGACTTATTTCTGGACAGATTGGAATAAGGCTTCGAAAAGCCTTCTTTGCGCAGATATTTACGGTATTTTGTACATTTCTGTGTCATGTATGGATACATAAGATCGTGACATTAGACATATATCATTCACACGCGAAATCCATATCTTCTACAGTCTTCTTATCGGTCAGTGCAGCGTATTCCTATCTTCTTGCTTCCATCGCACAGTCTGATGCATAATCTATTGCACCACAATTCGGAATATCGTCGGTGATAATAAGTAGACAGTCTTGTCTTACTCCTGTCTTCACTTCGAACGCTTCACTGAGTTTTCCTTTGTGGACCACCTGACACGTGACATTGTTATAAAGCCAGCTGTTGAATGAGGTTGATAAAGACTTGAGGTACGCCATAGTGTTGAATTAGTTTCCAACCTACTTCTCGGTCAACTATATCTAAGGCCCTTTCGAAGTCGATGAAGTTGCTGAGGTAGAGGTTTGACTGCCATTTTATGCTTTGTTCTGTGATGACGATGTGTAGAGTTGCAATTTGATCAGCACATGATTTGCCTCCCGTGAATCGAGCTTGTTCTGGTTGGTGGGGCGGAGTTATGTATCCAGTGCATCCTTTATTCTCTCCAGGATGATGCGACTTAGTATTTTACTTGGAGTGAGTGGAAAACAGTACAATTCCACGTCAGTTCTTGCACAGGCCTAAGTCGCCCTTCTTTGGCAGTTTGACGAGGTAGCCTTTCCTTATTTTCGAACCTTTTGCAATAATGGCGTGAGTACATCTGCCTCGGTCTCTGGGTCCGTTTGCAGTGCTTCTGCGGGAATTCCGTCTGGTCCTGCTGCCTCCCCGCCCAGTGTTCAGTAGCTTGATCGCATTTAGGATTTCTTCTTTCGTTGGAAGATCGGTGTCCACTGGAAGGCAGTTCTGTGCGTACTGTTGCTGGTGGTGTATTTCTGGGCGAGTTGCAGGTGATACTCAATTCATATAATTTTTAGATAAAGCTGATAAAGTTAATTGGTGGATGGTGACTAGCAGTGGAACCCAAGATAACGCGCATTTCGTCCTATTTGGGACTTGTCTTCCAGCTGGATGTGCTTGCATTCCTCAGTGAGTGATGATGTTCCCACCGAGGCTCGAACCCAGTGCCCACAGTTTCAAACGTCAAAGCGTTATCCACTAGACCACTTGGGCCATGAGAACCACCTCTTGTGCATTTTCCTAATTATTTCGCGATCATCATCAGTAAAACTATACACCGTTATTTATTTCAACAATTAAACAGATTTCAGTGTAGTCAAACACATAAATGCTTTTATTTTATTATTTTATTGTCAATTAGATATGATCAATTAGATACAAATAATCGTCTATCTGATCGTATTTGGACTGTACGTCAGTGGAGGGATGAATTGATCAATCAATTGAATCGACTTAAAGAACGTATGACACATTTAAGAGATGCTAAACACGTGACAGAAGAATTTATGGTTAAGCTGAATGATACATTGGGCGTTAATACAGAATCATTGACAAATTTAGATCGTAGACGAAATGGTGAAAATATTGATGATCCAGTGTTTCAAGAATTAAATAAAGTAATCATTCATTTTTGTTTTCATTATCATTATTTATTTTACTATTTTGAGTTGTGAGTTTTTTTAAGTTTCAGTAGGAATGGTGTCATTGTCTCACTCCCAGCTTTCCCTCTCTGCTGGGATTACTGTTGGCTAAGCGGGGTTAAGGAGTGGATTGGTCGAGGATTGAATCTCAAACCGCGTAAGATGACGTGGTTAAGAAACATTCTACCGCTGCACAGAGGCACAGGAAATAAGGAAATATAACTTAATTGAAGTAAGAAATGGAAGCCCTAAGGGACTTTAAACACATTAAGGATATCGACAACACAATAATAAGAAGACGTAGTTTATCTGAAACGTGTAATGTATTGGCGCAACACATTTCGAACATTCTGATCAAACACACTAGTACTTGTCATACACAGTTTTTATAGAATGCAGGAAGGCATGAATAATTGCAATACAGGTCAGATTGTACACAGGTCAAGGTCACAAATAATGGGTACGGAGACGCAAAAGGTGTGGGTAAGAGAGATAAAAGGAGAAAAACAAGGCAAAGAAGGGGTTGAAAATATTATGAAGTAAATTGGTCCTTGGTTCTAAATTGGATTACCAAGGCAGGTTTAAGGTGATAACAAATAACTTCTGCACACATTGAAGCCTTAGCCATAGAAAGACTTAAACCTGTGTTATGTGTCCAGAAGTTATTTGTTATCACCTTAAACCTGCCTTGGTGATCCAATTTAGAACCAAGAACCAATTTACTTCATAATATTTTCAACCTCTTCTTTGCCTTGTCTTTTCTCCTTTTATGTTTCTTACCCACACCTTTTGTGTCTCCCTACCCATTATTTGTGACCTCGACCGGTATACAATCTGACCTGTATTGTAATTATTCATGCCTTCTTGCATTCTTTAAAAACTGTTGTGTATGACAAGTACGTGTGTGATCAGAATGTCCGAAATGTGTTGCGCCAATGCATTACACGTTTCAGATAAACTACGTCTTCTTATTGTGTTGTCGAAATTCATAAAGGGAACTAATTGTTTTAAATTAAGGATATCATTGTTATGATATAATTATTTCCTTGGACTCCGAATGGAACACAGGGCTTCAACAAGATGTCTCCAATTGTCTCTGTCCTCTGAAAGTTCTCTTCATCTGGCTGCACAATTGCTCGTAGACTCTCATCTTCTTATCACACAATCTCCTCTATGTCACTCTTGCACCAATATTTAACTCATCAGTTTGCATTCCTGTCCCATTACACGGTCTATCGAGCCATGTCACCCGATGGTCAACTCAGCGTATGTCCTATTCATCTCCACTGTCTTCAGCATATTTGTTGAGTAATAGCTTGTTGGTTGGTTATTAGTTCCCAAGGTTATAGTAATTGGTAAATCCCATGAAAGCAATTCAACAGTGGTACTGGACAATGTCAGATTACTTAAAAAAGACTTAGTGCCCAAATACCAATAGGACTGTACGAAGAAGTTAAGAAACCAGTAGACAATGTATGAGTAGAGCCAACCTTATACACCGAATGAAACCGGTTCTAAGCGACTCTAAGTGGTTTAATTTAACGCCTAAAACTAATAAATTTCATCAAGCAGGATATCACATTTTAGAATTACACCAATTTATGAATTTTCAAGAGTTGGTTTGTAGGGATTAAATTTGTTTTTACCAGTTTGACCACGGATTGATACCAGTTAGAGAACCATTGAAAACCAGCAGAGAGTACTGGACAGCTGTTTGGGAATCATTGGCAGTACGCACCCACTGAGGTTCGAACCAATGACATTGGTTGGTGGTCGTGCTAAATCACGAACTGGTAGGAGTTAGAATTCGTGGGCCATTGAAGAGTCGGGTCGCAGTGGCTGAATGGTATACGAGCTTACCTTGTAACTGGAAAGTCTTAGGTTCGAACCCGGTTGTGTGGGTGCGTACTGCAGGTGATCCCCAAACTAGGCAGATGAAAAAGCTGTCCAGTACTCCTAGTTTTCAATGGTTCTCTAACTGATATCAATCAGTGGTCAAACTCGTAAAAAAAAATTTATGAATTAATGAGAACGAAAAAAGTAGTTCAGTGAAGAGGCTCTTTTTCTGCGAATTCATTCACTAAGCTGTACAATCGTATTTATATACAGTCTCTGTCAACGTTGGTGAACATTAAATAGTTTGTTTATTCGAACTGGTGTCCATTGGGTGTGTATGTATGTGTGACAAGAAGACTGTCATTGCTAAATTGCCTACTGGTTGTCAGAAGATTGAAGGAATACTATCAGCAGTATTCTTGTATATTATATTGAAGTTTATTCACAGACTTTAACATTGATTAACCACTGTAAATCTGTTTCATTATCTCTTGAAGAAGTAATCAGGCTGCCCAAACGTTTTTCTGTTGTTCTGCATCGGTTACAATGCATAGTCTTCCATGCATTGGGCTTAATCTTCTGAAACCAGCGATAGATCCAGCATCTCAGTGATCTGGATATTTGACAATGTCTCATTCGTGAAAGAGGGCAGTAACATAAGTGATAAGTTGATATAATCTACAGAGGGAAGAATGACCTGCCAAAGACAATACACTTTCGTCTTCTTTGAATTGCTGAAGCTCTAGTTATTCCGAGAGACAGGGAGAAACTGGAGCTGTGCATACAGAAGAAAGCTGTTCAATTACTCCTACCATCATGGTAACAACCTTGGTATATTCTACCCACTCTTTTTGACTGATGTCAGCTCATGATGAAATCCTCCATGCAATCAAACAAAATCCCTACAAAACCAATACTTGAGAATTAATCTGATGCTCACTAGTGGCTGGCCCTATTCAGGCAGTTAACCTGGGGTTCTAGTGGGAAGCCGTGACCAGTAGGGTACAGCAAGTTGAAGATGAGGCAGTAACTCATCGAAGAAGACATTGCGAAATGGTCGCGCTATGTCGTGAATTGGCAAAAGTTGGAATTCATGTGCTGGCCATTGGATCGGGTCCCAGTGGCTCAATGGTCTACGAGCTCGCCTTGTAACCAGAAGGCCTTAGGTTTGACTCCCTGGCGGTGGGTGCGTACTGATGAAGAGTCCCAAACTAGGATGAAATAGCTGTCCAGTACTCCCAGGTTTTCCAGTGGTTCTCTAACTGATGTCAGCTCATGATGAAATCCTCCACTCTTGTATTTCTTTAGAACTCTTACATAATTCTATATTTCGCTTTATTTTGTATGTGCACCCTGATTACAACTCATCCGTTAGTATTATTCATCTTATTGCTTAACTCCAATACATTCACTTGGCTCCTATTATAGATTGACTAACATTCACAACAATGATTACGACAACTCAGTTTTGTTTACTACCCTCTTTCATGAAAAAAGAGACTGTATATAGATAGATATGATGGAGAAGATTTGTGGCTCTGGTGGATGATTTCGATGTAGTTGTGTTCTCTAAGCTGGATGGTTTATTTGCGAAGCTTTCATTATTTCCCTCCTACTGGGAAACATAATAATAATAATAGCTTTATTCCAAACAGTATTTGTGGTACAGGTATGGAATTTTCAGCGTGCATTACAAATATTGCATCTAATTACCTCATAAATTTTATAAGATTTTAAAAATAAAAAGCGACAACAACAAAAAGATAAGAGAAATAAAAGAAATAAAAAAGAACAGCATTGCACTCACATTTTAAACAATGCACCACAGGATATGAAATATAAAATTAGTGTGTAATAGAATATGTGAGCAACAGTATAATAGTAACAAAGAAAGGAGAACAAAAGCTAATGGGAACTATTTGTTAGAGTGCCGCAGTAAGTTGATCGTGTCATACCTAACGGATTTCTCATCACATAACAGCTGTGCCAGATAAGGTATTGTGGAGTTTTTGTACTTGGTAGTCCTGGCATATAGCTTCCTATAGTTGCTTCTAGTTCTACCAGATGAAATGCAAGGAGAGAGCTGCGTATAGAGAGGATGCTCGGGGTCTGACAATATAGAATTCGCTAGTTTCTTACGTGACATTATATGTCTATCCACAATGGTGTTAACCAGTTGGTTTAACGAAATCCCACTTGCCCTACTAACAGCTTTTAGTGCCCTACGCAGCAAAGCAAAATCATTCTTAAGTAGTCCAGGAAAGATTAGTGGGGAGCAGTAAAGAGGGGTGGTTAGAATACAAGAGTTGACAAACTGAAAAAGCAAAGACTGCTTCATACCAGACTGCCTTAACTTCCTAACGTAGAAAGTTAAGCGAAACATCTTTCTAGTAACTAGCAATATGTGAGAGGACCAGGAAAGATCGGAGGAAATACTAAGTCCAAGGTACTTGACATTAGATGTAATTTCAACCTCTATGCCGTCAATGATAGTGGGACCATGTGAGCTGGCTAGTTGTAGTAGGTCACGTTTTCGTCTGAAAGTGAAATTTACTACCTGACATTTAAACGGATTCAGCTTAAGACCGTTTGAAGAGGACCACTGACTAATTTCCGACAGAAAGTTATTTAATTTGGAACAATCTTCAGTGCATACTTCAATTTGAATTGAAGTGAACTTTTAGATTTCTTCACCAGTTTATTAATCGTCTCTCCTGATGATTGGTTGACTTTGTGTGTTTTCACACCCTCTGGGTTACTTGTATTGGAACTGATGGTTTCCTTGACCTGAAGTTTCACCCTTTGTGTGTGTATGTGAGATTTCTCTCTTGTCGATTGGTAAATTTTGTCTATGTCAATGTGTCTGTTGATTGACGATTCACTGGAATACCAGGTTTCTAGAAAAAAATCCTCCAGCATTCTCAGTGTTTCTTCTTTCTAATATTTGAACGTCGGTTGTCCCAGTCAAAATGATGTCCGTTTAAATATCGGCAATGAAAGCTTCATAAATAAACCATCCAGCTGGCTCAGAGAACATAACTACACCAAAAAAAGATTGCAGATAAATGGGATTTTACAGTTTAGTGAATGAATTCACCTAAAAAAGAGCTTCATCGCTGAACACCACTTGTTCTGTTCCT